GGCGAGCGGCCGTACGAGTGCTCCACCTGTGGCCGCACCTACAACCACATCTCCAGCCTCATCCGCCACCGGCGCTGCCACAAGGAGCCGCCTGAGGCCGGCCCGGCCGCCGCCGCCCCCCTGCCGCCGCCAGCCCCGGCCACCGAGCCGGCCGGGGAAGGCAGCCCTGGCCCGGCCCAGCCTGATGGCCCCTTCACCTGCTCCCTGTGCTGGAAAGTCTTCAAGAAGCCGAGCCACCTGCACCAGCACCAGATCATCCACACCGGCGAGCGGCCCTTCAGCTGCTCCGTCTGCGAGAAGAGCTTCAACCGGCGCGAGAGCCTCAAGCGCCACGTCAAGACCCACTCGGCCCTGCTGCGGGTGCCCTGCGGCGTCTGCGGCAAGGAGTTCCGGGACGCCGCCTACCTGCTCAAGCACCAGGCCTCTCACGCTGGCCCGCGCCCCGACTACAAGTGCGACGTCTGCGGCAAGGCCTATGCCGCGCCCCAGAGCCTGCTGCGCCATCGCCAGCTCCACGAGGGGGCCGCCGCCCCCCCAAAGGACGCCCCGGCCGCCGACTCGGCCCCGGCCGCCTACCAGGGGCCCTTCCTGCTCCCCAATGAGGCCCCCCACGCCGAGGGGGAGGCCAAGGCGGCTTTCGGCAACGCAGCGCTGCTGGGGCCCCACCCGCTGCTGCTGGGGGCCGGCAAGAGCTTCTGCTGTGGCATCTGCGGGCGCGGCTTTGGCCGGCGGGAGACGCTGAAGCGGCACGAGCGGATCCACACGGGCGAGAAGCCGCACCAGTGCTCTGTGTGCGGCAAGCGCTTCCGGGAGTCCTTCCACCTCACCAAGCACCACGTGGTGCACACCCGGGAGCGGCCCTACAAGTGCGAGCTGTGCGGCAAGGTCTTCGGCTACCCGCAAAGCCTCACCCGTCACAAGCAGATCCACCGGCTGCAGCTGCCCTGCGCCCTGGGGCCCGCCGGCGCCCTGCCCGCCGAGGGGCTGAGCTACGGCTGCTCCGACTGCGGCGAGCGCTTCCCCGACCTCTTCCACGTCATGAGCCACAAGGAGGCCCACATGGCCGACAAGCCGTACGCCTGCGACGCCTGCGGCAAGTGCTTTGGCTTCATCGAGAACCTCATGTGGCACAAGCTTGTGCACCAGACGGCCCCTGAGCGGCTGCTGCCCGAGGGGGCTTGCGCCGAGGCCGCCCCACCCCCCGGGACCGCCGGCTGCCTGGAGAACGGGCTCCCCGGGGAGGCGCAGGCCGGTGCTGCCGCTGCCGCCGGCCTGGCCTCCCTAGTGGCCCCGTCCGAGGAGCACCCCATGATCCCCAGTGGGGAGCGCTTCACCTGCGGCATCTGCGGGCAGAGCTTCAAGCACTTCCTGGCGCTGGTGACCCACAAGTACGTGCACCTGGTGCGGCGCACGCTGGGCTGCGCCGTGTGCGGGCGCAGCTTCGCCGGCGCCTACGACCTGCTGCTGCACCGCCGCACCCACCTGCAGAAGCGCCACTTCAGCTGCTCCGTCTGCGGCAAGCGCTTCTGGGAGGCGGCCCTGCTGATGCGCCACCAGCGCTGCCACACCGAGGAGCGGCCCTACCGCTGCGCCGTCTGCGGGCGCGGCTTCCTGCGCTCCTGGTACCTGCGCCAGCACAAGGTGGTGCACACGGGCGAGCGGGCCTACAAGTGCGCCCTGTGCAACAAGCGCTTCGCCCAGTCCTCCAGCCTGGCCGAGCACCAGCGCCTCCACGTGGTGGCCCGGCCCCAGCGCTGCCAGACCTGCGGCAAGACCTTCCGCTACCGCTCCAACCTGCTGGAGCACCAGCGCGTGCACCTGGGGGAGAAGGTGTACCGCTGCGACCTCTGCGGCAAGAGCTTCTTCTACCTCTCGTCCATCCTGCGGCACCAGCGGGCCCACAACGCCCGCCGCGACCTGCGCTGCTCCGCCTGCCTCAAGCTCTTCAAGGACCCCAAGTACTTCAGCAAGCACGTGCAGACCCACCAGGGCGGGCACCCCTTCAAGTGCAGCACCTGCGGCGAGGCCTTCGCCAACACCTACGGCCTGAAGAAACACCGGCACCTCCACAAGCTGGAGCGTCTGGCCGCCCTGGGCCACAAGGACCCCTGAGGGGGAGAGACGGGGGAAGGGGCAGGTTGGGGGCAGACCCCTTAGTGCCACATATCCACTGGGGTGGGGGACAGGTTGGGGGCAGACCCCTTTAGTGCTATGGAACCACTGGGGGGTGTGGTAGGTTGGGGGGCAGATCCCTTAGTGCCATGTAATCACCGGGGTGGGGGGCAGGTTGGGGGGCAGACCCCTTAGTGCCACGTAACCACCGGGTTGAGGGGCAGGTTGGGGGCAGACCCCTTAGTGCCATGTGTCCACTGGGGTGGGGGGCAGGCTGGGGGGGCAGACTCCTTAGTGCCACTTATCCACTGGGGTGGGGGGCAGGTTGGGGGGCAGACCCCTTAGTGCCACGTATCCAGTGGGGTGGGGTGCAGACCCCTTAGTGCCATGTAACCACCAGGGTGGGAGGCAGGCTGGGGGCAGACCTCTTAGTTTCATGTATCCACCAGGAGGGTGGAAGGTTGGGGGCAGACCCCTTAGTTCCACATGTCCACTGGAGTAGGAGGCAGGTTGCGGGGCAGACCCCTTTGTGCCACATATCGACCTTCTGTGGTGGCCCCCCCGTTTCCATGCAGGAACCTAGGACTCTGCGGCCCCCTTGGGTGACGGCGCTCTGCCCCGCTGGAGGACATCTCGGCCCCTCCCAATTTAAGGGAGCTTCCCTCATCCCTGCTGATGGGCCACGGACTCCCCGCCGGGCAGAGGCTGCTGGACCTGGCACTGCCGAGGGGGCGAGACCCCCAGTGCTTTTCTGGACCCAGCCCTCTCCCAGTGCCCCCCCGGATTGACGGGGGGAGTTTGGTGGGTCTCGCCGGCTGACTGTGCCCAGCGGTGCAGGCTGGGACCCCGGCGGACTGAGGTGCCCACCAAATGGCCCCCCCCCGGCCGGCGTCTGGACAGCGGCACCCAGCCAGAGCTCGACACGGACAGGAGCAAAGGCCAGGGACACTCCGGGCTTCTCCCTCCCCACGCAACTGCCTGGAGCTAGGGCTGGCCAGGACCTGAAATCCCGCTGGAGGGGGGCCATGGCCGTCTGAAGGAGGCGCTCTCTGCAGGACCGTCGCTCCGGCCACCCAAGTGGTGCACCCCGGGGCTGGAGACTAATGCTGGGGGGCTGCTTTCCCGCCGGCTGGTGACCCCCCCCCACCTCCCTGTTTTGCAGGGTGGACGCAGGCCAGGCCCCAAGATGGACCGAGGAGCTGTGCCACGATTCGCTAGCAAAGCCCCCAGGCGGCTCTGCAGTGCCCAGCCCAGCAGGATGGGCCCTGGGGCGTCCTGGCGCCAGTGTGGAGCTGGTAACCAGGGCCGGGGGGGGAGCTGTCTGTGCAGTGCGACTGCCTCCCCCTGAGTGGGGCCAGCCCTGGGGCTCAGACGGCGGGGGCGGAGGGCTCTGCCACAACGAACTCTCCAAGGGTCAGACAGGTCCTAGTGGCTGGATCTGGGGGTTAACCCAGCTGGTCGGAAGTGCATGGCCCAGGGGGCGGCTCTGTTCTAACCTGAACTAGCCAAGTGGAGCAGCCCCATGCGGGTGGGAAGCTCAGAGCCACGGCCAGACACACCAGGAGCTGGAGCAAATATCCCCAGTTCTGGCTAGCTGGCTACCCTTCCCTCCCTCCGTCCCCTTCCCTCCATCTCTCCCTCACTCCATCTGTCCATCCCGCCTTCCATCCATCCACCCCCATCCCCTCCCTCCATCCCCATCGCTCCATCTGTCCCTCACTCCATCCATCCCTCCCTCCATCCGCCTCCATCCCCATCGATCCATCTGTCCCTCACTCCATCCATCCCCATACCCACCCATCCATCCATCTATCCCTCCTTCCCTCCCTCCATCCACCCCATCCATCCACCCTGATCCACCTCCATCACCATCCATCCATCTGTCCCTCACTCCATCCATCTCCATACCCATCCATCCATCCGTCCCTCACTCCATCCATTCATCCCTCCATCCACCTCCATACCCATCCCTCCCTCCCTCCATACCCATATCCATCCCTCCCTCCCTCCATCACCCCATCCATCTGTCCCTCACTCCATCCATCCCCATACAGACACCACCATCCATCCATCCATCCACCCCAACCCCATCCATCCCTCCCTCCTTTCCTCCCTCCGTCCACCCCCATACCTCCAGCCATCCATCCCTCCCTCCATCTCCTTCCATCCCCATCCCTCCATCTGTCCCTCCTTCCCTCCCTCCATCCACCTCCGTCCATCTGTCCCTCACTCCATCCATCCCTCTCTCTTTCCCTCCTTCCATCCACCCCATCCACCTCCATCCATCCATCCCTCCTTCCCTCCATCAACCCCATCCATCCATCCCTCCTTCCATCCACCCCGATCCACCTCCATCCATCCATCTCTCTTTCTATCCCTCCATCCACCTCCATACCCATCCATCCATCCACCTCCATACCCATCCATCCTTCCCTCCCTCCATCCACCCCATCCATCTGTCCCTCACTCCATCCATCCCTCCCCATACCCTTCCATCCATCTGTCCCTCACTCCATCCATCCCTCCCCATACCCATCCATCCATCTGTCCCTCACTCCATCCATCCATCCCTCCCTCCATCCCCGTCCCTCCCTCCATCCCTCACTCCATACCCATCCATCTCCATACTCACCTATCCCTCTCTATCCCCACACTGGCTGTCTCACCCTGTATACACCCATCATCCCTCTCTCTGCCTGTCTGTCTGTCTCTCCCCATATGCACCCATCATCCATCTGTCTCAGTGGCTTTCTCCCTTGGGATCCACAGACCATGGCAAGGGATTTCCAAAGGGCTCTGCACCTCCATTCGAAATGTTTAGGGGTCCACAAATGAAACTGGTCTAGCGTATCCCTCGAACACCTACTCACAGCTCTTTGTGTTTCACACTCCTCTATCGATCTGACTCCTGGGTTCTCGCCCTGGCTCTGGCAGGGGAGTGGGGTCTAGTGGTTAGAGTGGGGGGGTGGGGGAGACTAGGAGCCAGGACTCCCAGTCTCCTGGGTAGGGAGTGAGGTGGGGAAGGGCACCCCCAGCCCCTTTGTAGCTCCTTCCATCTCGCCGGCCCCTCTCCAGGCGGAGGCAGCGAGCCGCCAAGCAAGGCAAACACCCACCCCGGCAGCTGCACCCTGGAAAGGGGGGGTCGCAGGGGCCCCTGTGCTTTGGGCCACAGGCAGAGCGAGGACTCCAGCGGCTCCTACCGGAGATTGGCCATACCCAGCCCCGCCGACTCCTCCCCTCCCGTTTTGTTTTATAACCACACGGCTCTATAAATACATATAAATATATAGATCTATAATTTTCTAACCCCTGAGAGGCAGAGCCGGGGCTGAGCTGCCCCCCCTCCCCCCCCCCCCCACAATGGAATGACTTAAAAATACGTCTCTGTGTCTCTCCCCCATCAGCACAAATTCACTCCTCCTCCCTCCCGGGCTGGCGGAGACTCCGGTGCTGTTGGGTCCTGGTTGGGAAAGGGGGGGAGGGGACTGGTGTGGGGGCAGGGGAGGGGTGCGTGTGTGTCTGTCAAACTCAACCCCTGTCCCCTGCTGTTGACATGTAACTTCCCTGGTGTTGTACAGATGAAACTGATTAAAAACCGTGGATGCGTATTTATTAGGTGTGTTACGGTAGCTCTGGGCACCCAGCCATGGCCTGGTACCCCCTGTGCTAAGGGCTGTACGTTGTGTATTACGGTAGTTCTAGGTGCCCAGCCCTGGCCTGGGATTCCCCCTGCGCTAGGCGCTGTACAAACCCAAACAAAGAGAAGGTTCTTGCCCCGAAGAGCCGACAGTCTCAGTATAAGATGAGACTCCAGCTGGAGACAGACAGGCGGCTGGGGGAGCAGAATGGAACAATGGGACAATATTTGTCCCTGTGGACAGGTGCCCCCCCACGATGCCCCCGTGTGGCCAGAGTGGCACTGCAGGCACCTTGCCTCAGTTTCCCTCTGTCTTCCCGGAACATTTCACCCACAACTAGTCTTTAAAACACCCTTCCCCCTCCGGTGGGGTCTAATTCATTCTGATTCATCTGTGCCCCTGTTAGATTCTGGGGTGCACAGCCCTCCTTGGGTGGCCATGTGGTCCCACTCCGGACCCCTCCAGCTTGTGGGCTCACCCCCAAGGTTCGGGGGCCCACAGCCCTCCTTCCTGGGGGGCCGTGTCCCAGCTCAGATCTTCCTCCAGGAGCTCTGTTGGTGAGTGGGGATCCCCCGGTCCCCTGGCTCAGCCCAGGACCTTCCCCGGGTGGGTCTGAGACCCCCAAGTCCCTGCCTGGGCAGGCTGGCAGCGGAGGCCACCTATCCCTGCCCAATTCACAAGACATCTGGGCGCAGGTCCTGCAAATGGATATAAATTGGCCATCAGGAAGTTTAGACTTGAAATTAGACAAAGGTTTCTAACCATCAGAGGAGTGAAGTTCTGGAACAGCCTTCCGAGGGGAGCAGTGGGGGCAAGAGACATATCTGGCTTCAAGACTAAGCTTGATAAGTTTATGGAGGGGATGATGTGATGGGATAGCCTCATTTTGGCAATTAATTGATCTTCTGCTATTAGCGGTAGATGCCCAATGGTCTGTGATGGGATGTTAGATGGGATCTGAGTTACTACAGAGAATTCGTTCCTGGGTGCTGGCTGATGTGTCTTGCCCACATGCTCAGGGTTTAGCCGATCACCATATTTGGGGTCAGGAAGGAATTTTCCTCCAGGGCAGATTGGCAGAAGCCCTGGGGGGTTTTCGCCTTCCTCTGCAGCGTGGGGCACAGGTCACTTGCTGGAGGATTCTCTGCACCTTGAAGTCTTTAAACCAGGAGTTGAGGACTTCAGTAGCTCAGACATAGGTTAAGGGTTTGTTACAGGAGTGGGTGGGTGAGATTCTGGAGCCTGCGTTGTGCGGGAGGTCAGACTAGACCATCATAATGGTCCCTTCTGACCTTAAAGTCTGTGAGTCTATAAGGCCTAGGGGTCTGCCACTGTCCCCTTGCCGGATACAGACTGTCCTGGTTTCTCTGCTCTGAGCCACCCCATTGGGGGTCCCCCCCATTGGAGCCCCCTGGTGGTTGGGGGGGGGCTGCTGCACTGAAGTGTTGGCTTGGCCCTGCCTCAGCGCGGGGGACTGGCGTTGAGCGAGATCCCCTCCGGCCCGAGGTGTCTCGGATTCCGTGTCAGCGCCCAGCGCCCGCTCCCCAAACCCAGCCACCAAAATGAGCCCGAAGGATCCCAGCCCCCCCCCGGAGACCCAGCCATGCTGTGCCGCCAAGGCCCGTACCAGGGTGGGGAGTGAGGTGGGACTTGCCCCAGCCAGTGCCAGGGGGCGGGCGATGCCGTGACCCCGAGGGGATCAGAGAACCGGCTTTGCGGCAGCGTCCTGGAGCAAGTTGGCGTCAGGGCCGGCCGGGCACCGGGGAGGGAGGACGGGCCGTGGGGATTGCAGAGACTTGGGACCCCATTGATGCAGCCCGGCTGGGAGGCTCTGGAGAGGGGTCAGAGCCGCAGGTTAAGGGTCCCAGGGCAGGGAGGCTGGGGGTGCTGGCCGCAGGGATGGTGACAGGAGAGCTTGGGGGGAAGACGGGTGAGCTGGGGCTCCCTCTGGCGGGGGTGGGGAACGTGGAAATCACAGCAAGGGCCCATCTACCCTGGTATCCTGGCTCCCAACGGGCATTGGAGGAAGCTGCAAGGGATCCTGCGGTTCTGGCCCAACGGGCCCCATGCTCTGGGTAGGGAGCGGGGGCCTGGAGCCAGGACTCCTGGGTTCTATCCCCGGCTCTCGGTCTAGTGGTGGGGCCTGGGGTGGGGAGGAGCCTGGGAGGCCGGACTCCTGGGTTCCCTTCCCTGTCTCCCTGTGGGGCCAGGCCCCTCCCCCGGAGCAGTGCAGAACACGCCTGTGCCCACGCCAGTTTTCTGAGCTCTGCCCCGAGGCCTTGGTTGCCCCCTGTGGTTCACAAAGTGCAGGGCCCCCTTTGGGAAGGACTCACATGGCCCCCTTGAGCGCTCCGGGAGGGGGCAGCTGCCGCCCCCGGCACAGTGCAGGTGACATGGGCCTGGTGCTGCTCCCTGAGCATCAGCTGCTGGCATTGTGGGGGTCAGCAACCCCACACCACCAGAGGGCCTCCAATGGGGGGCCCCCCAGGGTGGGGTGGCCGAGAGCAGAGCGTGGGCCCCGGGCTACGGGGGGCTCTGCGAGGATCCAGCACCTCTCGGGGCAATCGCTGCTCCCCGAGCGCCGCGCTGGGCCATGCTTCTGGCTACCGCGGCCCCCAGGCTCCCGAAGGCTTGGGGGGGGGGGCCCGGGATGCTGCAGGAAGCCAGGCCTCCCCCCACCATCCGCTCGCAGCCCCTAGCCACTCCCACGTGTTGGCATCGCCGGTGGGACCGGACGCAGCCCCCCCTTGGTGTGAGCCAGGCACGGTGGAGCTGGACGGGGCCTCGAGGGGGCACCTCACACATACACCCCACACTGGGGCAGGGCCAAGTGCACCCAGTCCAGCTTGGACAGGGGCTCGCCTGACCCATCTAAACCTCTCTGGTGATTGGGACCCCCCAGCCCCCCAGGAGCCTGTTCTGGAGCGGAGCCGCCCCCAGAGCTGGACACTTCCCACGTATCCAACCTCATGCCCCCTTGCTGTGGATTCAGCCCTTTGCCGCCTGTCCGAGCTTCGTGGAGAACCATCCGCCCCCGGCCTCCTTGCACCAGGCCCGGCCTCTTCGCCGGCTGGTCTCAGGGCCCCGCTCGGGCCTCTCAAGACAAAACCTGCCCAGTGGTTTTAACCTTGCCGGGTTTCTAACCCTCCGATCGTTTCGGTCGCTCGCCTCTGGCCGCTCGTCCTTCCCAAAGGGGGGTGCCCAGAACTGGAGCCGGGAGTCCCTGTCGAGTGCAGCGGGACGAGGACCCCCAGGTCTGACCTACGGCGCTGCTGTTAACCCAGCCCCGACTGAGAGCAGCCTTTTCCGCAGCCGCGCTGGGGGCTGCTAGGCAGTGTGTGACCCGCTCTGCCCCCCGGCTCCTTTCCAGCCGGGCGCCCCTCAGCCGGCTAGTCCGCAGTGCGCAGCTGGGCGTCGGATTTGGCCTTCCCAAGTGACATACTTTGTACTGGGCTCTGTTCAATTTCAGCTGGTCGATTTCAGAGCCTCTCTCTCCTTGGTGGCTCCGGGTTCCAGGCCCACAAATCACCGGCACGTGGGACCTACCATGACCAAGGTCTCCTAGTGCCAAGGCTGGATGGGGCGGGCAAATTTCAGCCAGAGATTCCCCTACCTGAGCCCATTGAGCCCAAAGCTGGTGACCATGCCCGGCCTTGCTGCCCTTACAGGCTAGAACATCTTAGTTCGCGGGAGGCAACAAGCAGAGAACAGGCGAGGCCAAGCTGCCACCCGTACCCAAGGCACCAGCAGTGGCAAGGAACTGATTAGATGAGAGATGCCCAGATGGTGCCAGTAGGCGACACCCCCTCCATGTGTAGGTGAACCCCCCCACACAAAAAATGTGTTCCTTCCCTGCCTCCAAATCTAGCCATCAGCGGAGCTCTTTGTAGTCACGGCCCTGCACCCAAGCCCGGCTCTTCTGGCTCAGCGAGCTCGCGGGGCCGGGCCCAGCTCTGGTAGCTTGGAGGTGTAGGAGACTCAGGACACCTCGGACGTGCCAGGGCCCACGGCCCATTTGGCTGGCGTGTTGGCCGGCCCAGCGAGGTGCGATGAGCCTCTTCCGGCCAGCAAACCACCGCTCCAAAGGCAGCTTCAACCCACCCCCTGAACTCCAGGCCGACGTCTTTCCCTTGCGCCCGCCGGCCACTCCCCGGTGGGCAGAAACAGCCACAGAGTGTGATCTGCCAACGGGATTTAATAGAAGGGCTCTGGGGATGGATCCGTGGGGCTGAAACTATCCCAAGCGCCTGCTACAAGCAGAGAGATCCCGCCCACAGCCAGGCAATTCGGCCCCCACCCGCCCACAGCCACCGGTAACTCCTCGGCGGTGTCCGCCTTCCACGGGCCGAGGGGACGCCCCGCTGGTACCAGGCCCATGCGCTGCGACGGGACAAGGCGAGGGGCACGTGGCTGTTGGGCTTTGCAGAACCAGAGAGAGACTTAATGGTGGCACGAACAGCTGGTGACGTGGGTGACAAATGCGATGCTGAGTTCTGCTACGCCCGGCGTCTCCCCAAGGGAGCTGGAGCTGGTGCCTTCAGAAACTCCCAGCCTAGATGTAGGGGCCACGCGGGTCCTCCCAGGCCAGAGAATTGCCACTCCGAGCTCCCTGCAGCCAGCCCATATCTGATCGCCGAGCTAGCGCCAAGCTTGATTTAGTTTCTAGGCGGGATCAAGCCGAAGGGCGAGGAAGCCGAGCCGCGTCGTTGGATTTGTGGAGCACTGAGAAAACTCAAGCCCTAGCTGCGGCATTAAGGATTGGGGCCCAGCGGCGCCAAGGTATTTCAGCTGCTCTCGCCCATCGGCCTCACTTTTCGCGTGAGCCAGTTTTGAGGGTCACAGTCTCGAGTAGGCGCAGAGAGGTTATTTTACCCCTGGATCTGGCCCTGCGGGCGACCGCTGCTGGGATCCCGTGTCCGGTTCTGGTGCCACCATTCAGGAAGGATGGTGATCAATCGGAGAGGGGTCAGAGCAGAGCCGGGAGGACAGCTAAAGGGTGAGAAAACCCGCCTGAGAGGGAGAGACTCCAGGAGCTCGATCTTGTTAGCTTCACAGAGAGAAGAGGGGTGACTTGTTCCTTGGCTATCAGTACCTCCCTGGGGAACAAATATATAATAACTAGCTCTTCAATCCAGCACAGGAAGGTCTAACACCGTCCAATGGCTGGAAGCGAACGCTAGACAAATTCCGACCGGAAAATAAGGAGTACATTTTCAATGGTGAGTGTAATTAACCCTCAGAACAATTCCCCAAGGGTCATGGCGGATTCTCCATCACCGACAATTGTTAAATCCAGATTGGCTGGTTTTCTAACAGCTGCTCTGCGGAGTCTCTCGGGGCAGGTCTCTGGCCTGGGGCTCTACGGGGGGGTCAGATACGCTGATCACAGACGTCAGTTCTGGCCTTGGAATCTACAAAAACCTCCCGGAGAAAAAGGTGTGTGTGTGAGGGGGGAAATCACAAAAAAAGTGCGACATGCATCGGAAACGTTTGCCGTGCCGGTGAAAAATACTCACCAATTGTGCACTGCTGTGGTTTTCTTCCACCCCCCAAAAAGTGAAAAAACTCATCAACCAAGCTTTAAATGACTCACAGGTGCCAGTCAAACACGTGTACAGGGTGCTGCAGTGTCAGGAGGAGGAGCTCACCCAAATGGTCTCCACCATGTCTGATGGCTGGAAATTTGAACAGTTGGTCAGTATTGGTTCTTCCTATATCTATGGAAATGAAGATCAGGCTGAATTTCTGTGTGTTGTCTCGAAGGAGCTGCATAATACCCCCTATGGCACAACCAGCGAGCCCAGTGAAAAAGCAAAGATTTTGCAAGAGCGAGGTTCCAGGATGTGAAGACCATATTGAACACTGAAGAATATTTCTTTTATTCCAAGACGCAGTGAATTATCACCTTGAAGAGGCTTGGCAGTGAGAGGAAGAAATCTGCTTTAGATCATTTTCTATTGATTCTATTGATACTCGAGATTCCCCCGGTTTTGCATCCCATGATCGCATTAGGTCTTTTGGCCACAACATGGGCACCGTGAGCTCCTGTTCTGCTGATTATCCACCACGCCCCCCCCCCCATTATTGTCAGAGTCGCTGCTCCCCAGGAGAGGGTCCCCCAGCCCGCACGCACGGCCGATATCTCTGTTCCTAGCTGGATATATTGGCATTTAGCCGTATTTAAACGCAGCTTCTTTGCTTGCGCCCAGTTTACCAAGCGATCCAGATCAGTGACCTGGATCAGTGACATGGCCTCTTCGGTACTGGCCACTTCTGCCATTTTTAGTTCACCCGCAAACTTGCTGGGCGATGATTTTATGTTTTCTCACAGGCCGTTGATAAAACCGGTAAATAGCGTCGGGCCGAGAACGGGTCCCCGAGGGACCCCGCTGGAAACGCACCCGCTCGATGATGCGTCCCCAATAACCGTTACCTTTTGAGCTCTATCAGTTAGCCAGTTTTTAAGCCATTTATTGTGGGCCACGTTTATTGGGCACCATTCTAGTTTCTTAATCAAAATGTCGTGCGGTACCAAGTCAAAATATTATATCAAAACTATGACCTTTATCAATCCAGCTTGTAATCTCTGGAGAATTGGGGGGAAACTGATTTGTTTTGCGGGTTATTTTGGTTATTTTTGAGGTTTTGGGCTGGAAAAAAATTCATCCCACAAAGGTGAAAAACAAATTGGTGAAAACTGGGCGGGTGAACACTTCCTCCAACCGCGCTCCAGAGCACCCCACGGCAGGACGTACGTGCGGGGGAGATCTCTGCTAGCAGAGGATTTGGCTGAGGCATTTTCACTCTCAGCCCAGTGCCCACCGCCTGGCCATGCCACGGCCTCCCCGACTGCTCCACATGCCAACGACTGTCGCCCAGCCTGGACGTGGGCCCCACCCCGCGCTCACCCCAGCGGCGGGTGCACGGCCCGGAGGTGCCGGACCACCCACCGGCGCTCCTGGAAGCTCTTTCCGCACAGGGCGCAGCGGTGGGGGCGCTCCCCCGAGTGCACCCGCCGGTGCTTGGCGAAGTTGGAGGCGTTGTTGAAGCTCTTGGGGCAGACGGGGCAGCGGAAGGGGCGCTCGCCCGTGTGGATGCGCTGGTGGGTGGACAGGGCCGAGGACTGGGTGAAGCGCTTGCTGCAGACCCCGCAGGCGAAGGGGCGCTCGCCCGTGTGCACCCGCAGGTGCTCCTTCAGGTCCGTGGCCCGCTTGAAACGCTTGGAGCACACGAAGCAGATGTATTGCCGGGCATCGGGCGGGGGGGCGGGCGGCCTGCCATGTGGGGAACGGGCATCGGGGCTCGGGCGCCAGGGAGTGGCATGGACCGGCTTGCCCTGTCCAGGAACGGCAGGGCTCAAGCCCCAGGGAAGGGCATGGACTGGCACACCCAGCTCGTGGGCATCAGGGCTCGGGCACAATTGGGGCGCCCGGTCCAGCTTTTCCAGCAAGAAGCAGCGAGCACGACCACCCTCCTCTTCCTCAGCCGCTCTTCCTCCGTCGCCAGCTTCCCCGCAGCCCGAGTCGCCAGGGGACAGCCGGGCACCCGTGCCAGGGACAGGGGAGCCCTGCTCTGCGTCTCGCTCCACTGCCAGACACCGCCATGCCCCGGGGCACCGGCTTTCCGCCAGCCCCACCGCCGCCGGGCAGGCACCGTTAGCCGGGAAGTCAGGCCTGGGGCCCTCGGCAGAGGACCCAAGGGACACCCATGTTAGCGCCAGCCCCTTGGTGTCACCGCCGCCGTCTCGCGCCAGGTCCTTGGCACACCCACCAGTGTCCCGCTGGCTCAGGGGGGCGGGGGGGCAGCCGACTTCGCTGCCCAGGGGCTGGGCGTGGGTGCGCTGGTGCTTCTTGAAGTTGGAGGCGTTGTTGAAGCTCTTGGCGCAGACGGGGCAGCGGAAGGGGCGCTCGCCCGTGTGGATGCGCATGTGGCCGGTCAGCACCGAGGACTGGGTGAAGCGCTTGCCGCACACCCGGCAGCGGTAGGGGCGCTCGCCCGTGTGCACCCGCTCGTGGTCCCGCCGGTCCGAGGAGCGCTTGAAGCGCTTGGGGCAGAAAGAGCAGGCGTAGGGCTTAGCCGGGGGGGCGGTGTCCCGCCCGGCGCGGGGCTGCGGGGGCGCTGCCGGCAGGGAGGGCTGGGCAAGGACCGGGCGTGGCCCCAGGCGGGCATGGCAGCAGGTGCTGAGGCCACTGGCCCCCTCCTGGCACAGCGGCTCCAACACGTACTCGGGGCACCCACCTCCTTCCTCCTCCTCTTCCTCCTTCACCCTCACCACCTGGATCTCCAGGGGCTCCCCCGCCAGCCTGCGCTGCCCCCTCATGGTGGCTGGGGTCTCTGGGCTGCTTCCCAACCCCTGCGGGAAAGAGGGAAAGGAAGGGTGTAAACACAAGGGAGAGACAAATGGGCATGGGAATAGAACCAAGGAGTCCTGGCTCCCAGCCCCTAACCCCCGCTTTACCCACTGGCCCCCACTCCCCTACCAGAGCCAGTGAGAGAACCCAGGAGTCCTGGCTCCCAGACCCCGACCCCCGCTTTACCCACTGGCCCCCACTCCCCTCCCGAGCCAGGGAGAGAACCCAGGAGTCCTGGCTCCCAGCCCCCCCTGCTTTACCCACTGGCCCCCACTCCCCTCCCAGAGCCAGGGAGAGAACCCAGGCGTCTTGGCTCCCAGCCCTTCAAGTGAATCTGCTGGATGTTGGGGGGGGGGCTGGGCCCCCACCCCCGGGGGCCCACAGGGAGCAGCCGGGCTCGGCGCTGGGTCCCGCACGGAGCAGGGGGGGCAGGGTCCCCCCCAGCTGGAGTCTCCCCCTGGCCCATTTAACCCCCGAGTGGCCGGGGGGATCCCCAGCCCCATGCACCACCCTCCCCTCCCTTGGTCCCCTCGCCCCCTCACCTGGCCCGGCTCAGCGCCGCCCCGCCCCTTTCAGGGCCCAAATCCCGGGATTTAAAGGGGAGGGCGGCGGAGATTTTCGTGTCCGGCCTTTCTTGTCTGCGGTCAAAAAATCAAAGCTGGGTTGTTTTTCTTTCAAGAGACAGGGCGGGGGAGGGGTCCCCCCCGGCTTCCCCTGCCCCCACCGCCAGCAGAGAAGGAACAGATACCCCCCCCCCCCCGAGGTTGGGCTGTGAAGGGCGAACCCAAGAGTCCTGACTCCCTCCCCCCAGCGAACACTCCCCTCCCAGAGCCAGGGAGAGAACCCAGGAGTCCGGGCTCCCAGCCCCCCCCCGCTCTAACCACTAGCCCCCACTCCCCTCCCACAGCTGGGATGGAACCCAGGAGTCCGGGCTCCCAGCCCCCCCCGCTCTAACCACTAGACCCCACTCGAGGTGCATTCGAGGTGCAGAGCCTGACCTGTAACCCCTACCCCCGACACCCCCAAAACTCCCATCGCCACCAGTACCCCCACCCCCATCAACAGTTCCCCCCCACAGCACCCTGGGACGCAGCAGCATCACCTCAGTGAGGAAGGGAAACCGAGGCACAAGGAGGGCAAAGGTCAGATATCCCAGAGTCCCATGGGGCCTGGAGCCACATTCAGCACCACCCCCAGGGCTCTGCTCCAAGCCAGGTATTCTCGGTGGTGAAATGAACATTCAGCCACCCAGGTGGGCACAGTGTGGCCAAGGCCTGGGCAGAGAACCCAGGAGTCCTGGCCCCCAGCCCCCCCTGCTCTAACCACTAGCCCCCACTCCCTTCCCAGAGCCAGGGAGAGAAGCCAGGAGTCCTGGCTCCCAGCCCCCCTGCTCTAACCACTAGCCCCCACTCCCCTCCCAGAGCCTGAGAGAGAACCCAGGAGTCCTGGCTCCCAGCCCCCCTCGCCCCCCCCCCCCCGTTCTAAGCCACCAGACCTTAGGGGGGGTCTATGGGAGAACTGACATCCAAACCCAGCTCACCTTTAAGGCCGCCAATGAGCCAGGCCAATGGCCCCCTCGAGTGGCTGGCGCACACACAGGGTGTGTCTACACAGCACACACAGCCTGGCTCTGACTCACATTTGAGCTGAAGCCCTCACACAAATCAGCCCGACTCGGGTCAGCCCACACTCGGGACCTGGCTCCCAGGTCCCCGCTAGGGGGGTGGGGCAGAGCCTGCGTTCTGCTGAGCCGCCGAGCCAAACCCTCTTTCTGCAGTGCGGACGCAGCTGTAAACCCAGGTTTCCAATTCAGTGTGGACGCACAGGCACGGGCTTGGCCACTGCGAGTCCCAAAGACCCGGGTACACAGTGCAGTGTAGACGTACCTTAATTGGCCCAGACATATGAGGGTCTGGGCCAGACATCCTACCAGGTAACAAAACCCATCATTTCTGGCAGGACATTTTGAAAACCTGTCTTCTTTTTATCAAAATCCCCTGCTAAATTTTTTGAGGGGGCTGCCCCAAAAAAACAACCAACCAACCAACACACACCTGAAAAAATGGCAGTCTTTGAAAACCATTTTTGATGCAAATGACCAGATCTTGGTTAAAACAAATTCTGGTGCACAAATTCTGGTTGTCAAAATGTTTGGGTCTTGAAAACCGACTGGGTAAACAATTTAGTTGGTTTGTTTCTGGTCATAAGTTTCACCTTTTGAATATTTTTGTTGCTTGGTGAAAGTTTTGGGAGTTTTGTTTAAGAAAACGGTTGGTTAAAACATGTCGGTTTTTCAGCAAAAGTTTTCTTGCTGTTGGGAAAACATTTTTAGTAAAATGATAGTAAACAAAATTTCAGGGTTGGAAAAAAATGGATTAAAAATTGGGAAAAATGTGTGTTTCTGCTAAAAAAAATTGCAACTATTTTTTATTTGAATAATGTGATTCGCAGTGAAAATTTTTAGTTTCAAAAACTGTTTTTTTCCAAAACGATGTTCAGTTTAGAAAATGTATTTTTTGATAACAAGTTTTGGGATTTTAAACACGATTTTCAGTTGAAACAAACTGGGGTTTCAAAATGCATCTTCAGTCAAATAAATTGGTTTTTAAACCACATTCTCCGTCCATTTCTTTTGCTTTTGGTACGAACGTTGGATTCTCAAAACCCCCAAACTTTTAATGAAAAACTGAAGATTTTCACCCCCGAAATGTCAGTTTTCTTGGTCCAAACACCTGGTAAAAAAAAGGGTTTTGCTGGAAAATAACTGTGGTGAGAAATGCGTGGTAAATAGCCACTTGGGACCCAAAGCCGTATCTTGCCTGATGTAATTTTTGGTACCAAACCAGCCCCCTAGCTTCCCTCCAGCAATGAACTGGACTCTGTCACACCCGCAGCCCCTGCCCTGCTGGAAATCAAACCCCAGGCCCGACACTTCATTCCACACACACAAAAACAACCAAAAAAAAGTGTTTTAATTAATAATAATAATTAAAAAACCAAGATAACGAAGATTCCACCGTAAATCGGAGCTGTGGAGAGGGAGCAGCTGGCCAGGCCGGGCACCTTGGAGTGATCTGGGCTTGAGGGCCTGTGGGTCCAGTTCTGTTGTTGGATTTCCTTCTCCGGGGCGATTGGGAGGTGGGGAGTCCTTGGGGGGGGCGTCCCGCTCCCCTGCCTCCACCTGCAGCCATTTGGGGGCGCCAGACCGAAAAACACCATGTGCAGATTGGTCCCAGTGCATGGTGGGCCTTCCGTGATGGCCCCCAGCCGTTGGTCACCGTTTGAGGCAGGATACCGGGGCAGATGGGCCTCTGGGACTGATCCGGGGGCAGGGAGGGGGTGGGATACCAGGTTAGATAGGCCAGTGGGGCTGCTCCAGGGAGCAGGAGAGGGCCAGATACTGGGTAGATGGGCCATCAGGAGCAAGATGAGCCTATTTCTAGGGAATGTAGAGTCACCACGACCCTCTATGGGGGTGGCCAGGACAACCCCCCTCCTCCCCCCAACCACTGGCTGTAGGACTGAGCTATCTGTCCCTAGAGGGGACAGGCCCCGTGCCACATTCCCTGCTCCTCTGAGCCAGCCAGTCCATGCCCTGGGGCCAGATGGGAGATGGTGCCCCCTAGAGGGGACAGGCCCCATGTCCCATTCCCTGCCCCCTGAGCCAGCCAGTCCCTGCCCTGGGGCCAGATGGGAGCTGGTGCCCCCTAGAGGGGAAAGGCCCCGTGCCCCATTCCCTGTCCCGGGGCTGGATGGGAGCCAGCGCCCCCTAGAGGGGAAAGGCCCCGGGCCCCATTCCCTGCCCCTCTGAGCCAGCCAGTCCCTGCCCTGGGGCCGGATGGGAGCCGGCGCCCCCTAGAGGGGAAAGGCCCCAGGCCGCATTCCCTGCCCCTCTGAGCCAGCCAGTCCCTGCCCTGGGGCCAGGGG